CAAACACGGGGGTAATGACAGTGACGGACCATGGGGCTGTGTGACAGGTAAATGACAATGTGAACGACAAGGGCTTAGGACCGTATCTGAGATAGTTGTCCCTCAACAAACGATGATCTTTCGTTTAGAACGAGGGGAACATCCCTTGGTAGTAAGTCCTTCAATCCACAAATAACCCACCGACGCTCACACACGTGCGGCCAGGCCCCGGGGAGGCCCCAGGAGAGCCGGCTCCTGGTGAGGCACGGAGAAGAGAAGGTGCCCAGGGCAGTGTCCAGACAGAAGGGATGAGCGAGGAGCAGCCACCAGGAAGGTGAGCCATCTCCGGGGAGGGGCCTACCATGGAGCAGAGGCTCAGGCAGCAGACAGACCTCAGCACCTGGGCCTGAGAGGTCAGGGCTGTGGCTGCAGCCCCGGTCTGTCCCCAGTGCACTCCGAGCGGCATGCTGGCTCCGTGGCTGTGGCTGATTCCCTTGCTTCCAGATGGTGGTCCATCACAGGTGCCACTGATACGAGAAAAATCGGGCTTGGCACACAGCTGTGTCTGGGCAACAGGCCCGAAGGCTGCCCTGACTCACCAAACACACACACACACACACACACACACACACACACACACACACACTCAGAGGACGTCACCACTCCCGGGCTGGTTTGCCAGAATCTCATCATCCAATCAGCTCCTCATCATCAAATCAGAGGACACGTTGTTGTATGTTTCTTTTTAATATTTTTTATTGATTTCAGAGAGGAAAGGAGAGGGAGAGAAACTTAGAAACATCAATGATGAGAGAATCATTGATCGGCTGCCTCCTGCACCCCCCTCATTGGTGATCGAGCCCACAACCCGGCATGTGCCCTGATGGGGAATTGAACCGAGAACTCATGTCTCATAGGTCAATGCTCAACCGTTGAGCCACACTGGCCGGGCAAGAGGCTGCTCTGCATGAGGCCCAGGTCTGCCTTCCCGCGGTGCCTTCCGGCAGGAGGACAGGCTGAGGTGGGGCGCCCAGGGCTCAGCCGTGTCCTCAGCTGCGAGCTACCCTCTCCGAGATCTCAGGTCCCCATGTCAGGGGCAAAGCTCTGAGCCCTCAGGTCCGGGGTGATGGGGCCCTGGGAGCTGGGGGTCAGGTCTGCCTGGACCTGCATGTGACATCGCAGAGAGTGGGGACCCCTCTTTTCATGCGAGACCTCGTGTCTTCTACCCACTCATCCGCTTTCCCAGGGTGACTGCGTCTTGGTCAATGGCTTCCAGGAAGAGAAGTGGGGGCTCTTGCCAGAGTCCAGGAATCGAAACCCAAGGAGCTGATTGGATGATGAGGAACTGATTCGATGATGAGGTTCTTGGAAACCAGCCTGGGAGTGGGGACGTCCTCTGCCTCCTGCCACTGAGACAGGGGCCTGTGGGTGTGTCTGGAGAACCTAGGAGATTCCTGCTTGTCATCTGCTTGCGTATGTGTGTGTCTGTGTGTGTGTGTTTGGTGAGTCAGAGCAGCCTTCGGGCCCATTGCCCACACAGCTGTGTGCCAAGACCGACCTTTGTCATATAAGTGGCACCTGCGGTGGAATCACCAGCTGGAAGCAAGGGAATTAGCCACAGCCACGGAGCCAGCATGCAGCGCGGAGTGGGCTGGGGACAGACCCGGGGCTGCGCTGGGCATGTCCCCTGGGTGGGAGCCCGGGGCCGGCACAGGGTGGTCTGAGAGGATCCGGATGGACAGTCAGTGGGACAGAGGGGCATCCCCTCGGGGACAAACTCTACCAGCTGGGGCTCAGGTCACACTTGAGCCTGGAACACAAAGTCCCCCGACTCCTCCCGGCTGGGGGTGGAGAGGACGAGCGGTGCCCCTTCCTGAGGCGGGCACACCCCGAATCCTCTGCTCCCAGGCCATCCTGGCCGCCCTGCTGGGAGCCTCTCTGTTCTCCTCTGTGTAATGGGCGGACAAAGGCTCTGAGTCCAGTTCCTTCCCCTACAGGGTGGCTCCTAAGGAGAGCTCAGCTCACGTTGGTCCCGCCCTGCCCTTCCTCTCAGGACAGAGTCTCCCTCCTGGCTCAGCCCCGCAGTTCCCTGCACTGGGTCCGGGCCATGCCCTGCACTGG